AGGTTAAAAAAAAATGGATGTGGGATGCAGCAGAGAAGGTGCTTTGGCGAGGAGTTTTTATTTTTGAGCACATTGCCTCTTGTCCTACCAGCGGGCACTGCTGAGAAGTGTCTGTCTCCCTCTCCTTCATTCCCTCCCTTCAGGTATTTCTACATGCTGATGAGATCCCCCTTGAGCCTTCTGTCTTCCAGGCTGAACTGTCCCAGCTCTCTCAGCCTCTTTTCATAGGAGAGATGCTCCAGTCCCTTAATCTTCTTTGTGGCTCTGCACTGGACTCACTCCAGTATGCTCCTGTCTTTCTTGTACTGGCAAGCCCAGTAAAGACTGAGGCACAGAAGGCATTGAGTACCTCAGCCTTTTCTGTGTCCTGTACCACCAGGCCCCTGCTGCATTGAGCAGCAGGACACATTTTCCCCGGTCTTCCTTGTGCTCTTTATGTACTTGTAGAATCCTTTCCTGTTGCCCTTCACGTCCCTCACCAGATTCAAGTCCAGGTCAGCCTTGGCTTTCGTAACCCTGTCCTTGCAAGACCAAACAGCAGCTCTACTGTCCTGCTGGATCACCTGCCCCTGCTTCCATCTCCTGTACACTTCCTTATTCTGGATTCAGTTAGAACGTGTCTGTTCTGCCACATCACTCCTCCGTCATCTCCCTTCCAGCAGTTTTCCTACCTGACCTTTACATCAGGATCTTCTCTTCACAATTCCCCTGCATGAATTTCATTTCTGTATCAGTGACCCACTCAAGTCCTCAAATATAAACTCCAGCACCATCACACCTGCATTCATCACACAGCTTTGATTCAGTCTTCCTACTCCTGAAGAATGCTGCTTACCACCCTGGGGCTTTGCCTGTCTTTGCAAGTAGTTCAGCACAGCAGAGGCAGATTTGTAAGGAGACACCTGATGTTCAAGCTAAATGTTTCATTGAATTTCATCTTGACCTAAGACTAGCTCAAGACTAGAATGGAATGAATACCCAACAGCAGCTGTAGCATGTAAGGCAAACTCCTAGAGCAAGTCTCTGGCTGTATTTGATCTGTAAAGAATCCATTTCACGCCTAGAGACAGTTCCATGGTGCAAACGGGCACCAGAAGATCACCTAGCCCTGCCTTTGCTGATCTCTATTGTTGATTCTGTGTCCTTCCCATAATTTCATTCAACTCACTTGGCAGAGTCTTGACTGATCTCACTGGTACATGCAATGAGTTTGCAATGGCACTGCTCATCTACCATGTTAGCTAACAACGTGATAGTTGACTTTCCGTAGGCAAGATTTCTCTGGCATTACCGCTTTGTGTTTTCCTTCCTTTGATTATAGAAACACAATTAAATCCAGGAAAAGTCAAGCTAATAAATCCAGAAAGAAAACACGATTTTTGTTCAATTATATTGTTTAGTATTTTTCCCCTCAATAAGTATTTTTTCCCTTAACAGTCTTCCAATACACTGGCTTTTAGATGCAACAGGCATGCTTCCAAAAAAATTCCCAGCAACCACTGACACACCCAGAACGAGGGTACTGCTTATCAGCAGCAGTTGAACCACTGTATTGGAGTTGATAAAACATTGCTGGAAGCAGGCAGCTGAGCAGGACACACAGCACACAAGCTTCTCTGCAGTAACAATGAGAAGGCTATTCCCAATGCCCAATTTTTTTGTTTTTCTTTCCCTCTAGGCTTCTAATCAAATTGCAAAGCCATCCCTGTTGAGGAAAGGCCTAATCAAAGAAGCATGAGGAAAACAGATGCTAATTCCATAGCAGGCATCTCCCCGGCTGTACATCTCCGCAGTGACACCACCTTGGCAGGACTGATTTTCAGCCAGAACAGTCCAACGGTCTGGCTAACTCCACCTGCAAGTCCTACTGCTTTCGTGAAAGAGGCAGCAATGGCGACCTGGTCCAGACTGTCCTTTCACAGTTCTTCTAGTAGTTAAAGCTCCTCCTAAAACTGTGTACACTTGGGAGTAGTGCACCATGAGGCAAAAAAGATTAAAAGCTCCAAAACTGTGAACAAATAACAAAATCGCATGTGTACATCAGGTCTGTTGTGGATCTTCATTCATACCTCCCAGTTGAGGGATCTTGCCCTCATCTGTTCATGCTGCTCAAAGCTCTGTCACCGCAAGTTTATGCCTTAGCATTTGGCCGGGCTTATCTCCTGGCTCTGCTATTTTCTGCCCCTTCCATTCCTGCATGAGGCTCTTACCCTTCCTTTCCTTTTTTTTTCGGTATGAATCAATCTGAACCAGCTTTTCTGCCAATTTGCAGTTCTCTGCAAAGCTTTTAGATTGACTCACATTCAGAGAAACATTTCAGATGCTCCTGTCATACTTAGTTCCAGCTCTCAGTTTTAAAGGATTGCGGGAATTTCAGCTACTGCTTTTTCTTTTTTTTTTTTTAAAGGTTGCTTTCTAGACCACTTGCTTGTAAAGAAAATCCTGACAGTGTCACCTGTAAGAAACAGATGGCAATTAATTTATTTTTAAACAATGTATGCATCAAGCTATTGTCAAGAAACCTACAGTTTCTGAACAGCAGGAGATGACAAAGCAAATTGGAAACTTATCTCTCTTCTTTCTTCACTGATGCTCAGCAAGTGCCTTTTTTCCCCTGTGAATTCTATCCCTTTGTCTTTTCACTCAGAACTCTTTAACAGAATCCTTCCTAACATTCAGTTCATTTTCTTAGCTCTGTCAGCTCATTTATATATCTGTATTTTAAATATACTTTTTTTAAAGACTATTCAAGATCCTGTATAGATAGCACATTTGACTGAAAACATCATATTTTATGACTAATTATGTAATGTTAATGTATTTTTTCTATTGAACTAATAGTCCACCAAATAATGTACAGCCAATATTAAAACTGACAAAAATTAAGTGATGTTTTGAGTCTTTCGTGTGGATTTTAGGATACTTTGGCTTTCCTATCTTTTTGCTTTGTCTGGTATAATTCCAAAGGCATTATTTCAATTCTTCTTTTTCAAACTATGTATCCACAGGCGACTTTCTGTCTCACCAGCACTGTTCGGTACTGCCCATGAGCAGTACCTTGCTTTCCTTTTTTCTTCTTTGTGCGTTCCTTAGCACTTCTAAGACATTGATCATCATGCATAATTTGACTACACTCATACTGTTTTGCAAAATCATAAAAATAACCAGAATTAAAAGTTTGAGTAGATAACCTCAAGCAAGAAGGCAAAGTTCTCTCAATCTCCGAGATCAGCTGGAGCCTGTACTACCACCTTTAAGCTATACTACCACCCATCGGCTTAAAGCAGAATCAACAAGAGCAGCAGTGGACAAAGCGCAGCCTGCCACAGTAACCTAGCTCCCCACAGCTGAAGACTCCTCATTCCTGATGGATTTAGCTGCAGTGGCTAGAGATTCCTAACCCCCATTACGGAAAGAGCATCCTCTTTGACCATAGCCAAATCTAACAGGGATTTTGGCTTTTTAAAGCAGGGCCTCTGTCTGGGCACACGGGATTTTCTTGGCAGCTGGTCCAAGACTAGAAGTTTTTTCCTATGAAAACTGAGGAAGTTTAAAACTGTCAACACTTATAAAATCTTTTTTTTTTTTTTTCCTCTTCTAGTAAGGGAACCTGAAAATATTTACTATTTTAACAGGTAAAGTTTTCTTCACAGATGTAGATGCAAGTTATCTTTCATCTCTAACTCTGCATCACTCTGCACAGCTCAGGATCTTAGTATTTGTGCAGGACAGAATCCAAATTAGGCTTGCTACTGATTTCTTAGTAATTGCAGGTAAAACTACTTAACCTTGAAGATTATGGCCAGGAGAAGTAATGAACCGTTATGGGTTTTGAAAACATCAATTAATCCAGTGCATCTTTAAACACAATTTATTATTTGGTCAGATAAATCATTTAATCCATTTCTTTTCATGTCAGTAATGTACACCCTTCTATAATTTCTTTAGGCTTTATAGCACCTGCAGTAGTATTGCTCAAGAGTGAAACAAAATGTGCAGGTCCAAGAAAATACTTAAGTACAAACATTGATCTTTATCTATTTCAGGCATAGTTTACCATATACATAAATACTTAGGGAAGACAGATCATGTTGATTTTTGTCCAGGAGCTATGAAAAAATGATGACCTCTAACATTCAGTCCATCCTGCATATCTTGTGAATGAAGCTTTTATCATATCTATACATACATCTTATGGTAAACAGGTATCTTTGGAGTGAGTTGCACTGGCAATGAAACAGTGATGGTAAAATTATTGTTCAGAGGAATACAACAATTTCTGATTAACACCTGCTAGATATTATACAAGGCTGTAGGCAAAAAGGTTCTCAGAAACAATGGTGCAGTTTGATACCATCAGGTGAAACACAAGACCGCAAGCAGGGGTTAGCTAGCAATTAGTTTATTGACAATATACTTACACTCCAATCAGCGCAGGGAGCCCCAGTAACTACGTGGAGGGTTGTGAAGGAATAGCAGACAGTACGGCCAGGTGCCCGATTGAGGCTCAGTCCAGGGATGTCCCTGCCTCAAATTAAGATATTTTTTCTGACAGCAGGTTATATTTTTTATATATACATATATCACGCCCACCTGGTTACACATCAAACAATACAATGGTGCAATAATTAGAAGCTCAGGTCACAGTGACCCGATGATCATCAGTGGGGGCAGGATGTTTGCTTTGTAAACTGGAACTAGATCATGTGCATCAAGCCATGTCCTTGACTCCTCACTGATCTTCCAAGTCCTCCCCTTGCAACTTGTACATCCCAATGTGGTGCATTTCTTTGTACAAACTGCAGGGACCAGGTTCCAAAACTTGGAGTAGGTGATTTTATGCATAGTTTTTCTTTAACCTCAATCAGTATATTAGGAAAAAAAAAAAAAAAAAAAGAAAAAAGACATCCTCATGGTATAGCTATTTACTCTTGCAGCAGCACACATTTATGTGTTAAAAAAAGTATGTTTCCTATTATTTCCTTATTAAAAAAAAAAATCTAATGCAGAAGTATTGTGAAGTTCCTTCCCCAATACAATCTGAAAATTTATACTGTTTTAGGAAGACTTTTGAAATAATGTCCACAAACAAAGATTACCTGAAAATACTGCCTGAAGGAAGACAACGAGAATCAGAATGGCAATATGCCATCAATAATGTTCAGAAATGCAGCTATTTTGAGGTTAGCATTTCTTTTGTTCACTTGGCTGTCTCTGTTCTGGCTGATTCATGTCAATCCCAACACAAAAATCATCAATGAGGTGCTTCATTAAGACATGGAAAATAGTCTTCAGTCTTGAAGAGGACTGGAGGTTCATAGAGGGTCTGTTGTTGTCGTGAGGAAGATGATTTCTGCAAATGAGATAAGTTTATTTTTCGCCTTCTTAAAAAAGCAAGTTTTAAAGCAAAGCCTACAGAGTTAAAATGCAAAACAAGAAACATTTGAAGGCATGTCCCCTTAGGCGAATTTTTAATCATAGCTCAGATGCCTCTGAGCATTATTAACACTAGTGAAGCAAAGCAGCATTTGACTTTTGCCATTCTATCACTTGAAGAGACACAGTTCTGGGAGGTGGAGGATATGCCAGCTTTACAGGAGCCAAATGGGTAATATTTTCCAGCTGACGGTATAGTCATTGCAACCTTCATTCTTCCAAAGCCATATACCTTTACCTTTCTTGCTCTGGCCTCTCAGCCGTTCTGAGTTAACCCTAGCCTGTGTTCTCATTTACTTTGTTAAAAAAGTCTTCATATGGAAACAAACCTAGCAAATGTTTCTTTCGAGAAGGTTGCTGCTCCTGCTGAGCTTCTTCATCAAGTATATGTTTTAATGATATGTCATATTACATATATTCTAAATAATACGGTTGCGGATTGGAAAAGAGCTGTTACACTGTTTTTCAGGAAAAGTGTACATTTCTTTGAAATATTAACTGTACATTGTTTTGCCTTACCAAATGGTTCACTTAAAGAGACAACAGCAAGGACCACTACTCACTATCATGTCAGCCTTCCTTTGTGTAATTAACACTGCACTGCAACACAGAGCCAGTGTACGTTTTCAATATATGGTCTTAAATAGAAGGCTTGAAATCAAAACTTCATTCATTAAAAAATTTTGCACAGCTCTCAGTCAGTTTGTCTGCAGAGATTTATCTTCAGGTACTTTTTTGCCTGTCTGAGATGAGGAAATTAGATTCTTTACCAACAGCAAAGTTAAAAGCATACCAAATATCATTAGTACACTTGGAGTTTGGAATGCTTTTATGGTACCAACATGAGGATATAACTAAGCATACCTACAAAACAGCTAAGTAGAATTTTTGCAATATTCAGTTGAGCTGTATACTTCTACTCCATATGAAATAAGTACATATTCTGTTATATACAAAATTGCTGAATGATGACAAATTATATTTGTCTTTATGATACCATTCATTTCTCTGAAATAAGTTTGTTTTGCCATTTAAGTTATAATGAAATAAAAAAAATATAAACAAAGATCAGATCTATAGAGTGGATACTAGCAACATTCTCTATATCAGAAATTTTGCCAAATGTGAAAACAATCTTTGAAATCAAAATTCTGTTTTTAAAAATTATTTCCTATTCTGTACTGCCCTATGAGAAAACACCTTGCAAGCAAGGGGAACGAAGGTCACTAAAGTATTCTGCAACTCATGACACCGATTTAAGAGGCCCTATATTTGCATATGGGCAAGAAGGGAATAATTTCTATCTAGTGAGGATATTCATAGGCATGCCTAAGTACGCATTTATGATTAGTTATTTTTGCAGCTGCTTAGGAGACATTTTTACCTTTTGAAAGAGTCTACATCCTTAGTGATATTAGAAGCCTTACAGTACTCTACTTTACACTGCCTGGTATTCACAAGGGAAGACTTGGGGCAAAATCTGAAAGTGAGATTACAAATACACAGCTTAAGAAGTACAAAATATATCGTTTGTGTAAAGAAACAAATACGTTTAAATGGGAAGAGAGTGAGGGGACTTGACTAAACTAAAATTGTAGCAGGAAAATGTGAACTACAGCTACAGTGAAAATCACGATACTGGTATAGCCTTCTTTTCTAAAGGGCTGATATCTTGAGTGAGCTGATTAAATGTTAGGCATGAGGAGAAATCTCTATAGGCATTTCCATTCAGACATGTTTGTGTTTACTAGTGAAAATAGATATTTTACTATGCAATACTCAGTACCATTGCAGAACAGTGACCTGCCTTTTAGTTAACCAATTAATACCAGTAAGTTCTCAGGGTTGATTTTATTGCTATCCATACTCAAACCAAGAAACCACTGGACATGCCAGGCTCAGTTGCTGACACTTTCGAAGACTTTCCTCCTTATTAATTGCGGAAAAACTGCTAAGCTGACAAAATTTTCCCATTCAACACTAAAAAAGCACTTTATTAGAACTTCCAAAATTTTCAATTGAAGATTGTAATGCTGTGGTTAACAACTGGTTTTAGCAACAAAATGGAAAATACTGTTGAATATCCTTCAAGACAACTGCTGCTGTTAGTTTTGGGGTTTGTTTTTTTTTTTGCAATTGGCCCATAAACAACAGCTTCACGGTTTGTTTTCTTTTTTAAAGAAAAAATTGTATCACTCTAAACTTCAACACTAAAGAAAATAACAGAATGAGAAGTTAACTAACAAAGACTAAACAGGAAGTAGCAGCGAAGAACAGGTTTCCTGAACTGAGTCTTACCGAGACAATACATAGTGTTTTTACAACTATTTTTCTCTGCTGTTACATGTGCTTGCAATATTTAGGAGCAGAAATACTTCGACAGTCACAGCCATCTTCCTCTCCCCCTCTGCAAACCTACTTTATTTCAGGATTCTCACCAGTATTATGGTACAGAAACCTGAGCTAGTACAGGATAAATATAGGAAAAGATAAAGAAAAGAATCTGGGAGCTGAGAAGACACAAGGAGGAACCACTTATAAATGGTATATTGGCAGGTGATGCCAAGAAGCATCAGGTGGTTCAGAACCTTTATTTTAAAAATATCGTGTGGTGTAGCTTTTGTTTCCTTTTTTGGTAACATTTCTGCAGTGATATTCTTAATGCAGTACGATCCTGTAACAGTGCTGTCTGTACAGGCTCTTCCTATTTGCTTGGCATACCATCAGAGATCAGGGATGCTTTAATATAAAGGCTTGTTCATTATGTGCTTGTCTGTGCCCTTCGTGTTCCCTTCTTTGTGTGTTCAACCTTATTTTGGAAAGTTACACAAATCCTTGTAAGAATGTGTAATTTTTAAGTTCCAGGGTTTGCTGGTGTTTTTTTTTTTTTAATTAAGACTGAGAACTTTGCAAAAATCCTAATACAGTATATGAAAGTTTTACAGTTCAATTCAGATATATGTGCAACAAACTTACTATTATTTTAATCACCCACTCTGGTAAGCAGAGCAACTAAGCTGGTCACATGATAACAAAAGCTTACTTACATTAAGGAATGATGGTATGCTGATTGTGTGCAAGATTTTCTTGAATGTGCTTGGAAAGGCTCCAAGGTCTGTTTCTGCCTTTATGACCCGTTCTTCCAGCCCAGCTACACTATTTCCAATCATCTTCACAAAAGCCTAGTGTGAAAAAACCAAAAGAAATCCAACTTTTTCACTAACAAATTAAAACAGGATTATGTATTGCACAACAGTGGCCAAAGTCCCACTACTTAAACGAGGAGTCAAAAACTCCATCATCTATTTCCCTTCCACCTACAAGTCCATTTTATTGCTGAAAACTAATTGAGATACTTAAAAGGCTGCACAAACAGGTTAAATCTAACAAAACAGTCAGTCTTCTTTTTCCTATTTGTCTTCCAAATAACTGATTTAGACTACTTAGAATTTAGGTTTTTATCTGCCTTTCTACTGAAAGCGGGACCAAGAATATGAATCACAGTTTTGAAGCTTTACCAGGGATCAATAGACCTCTCATTCTACTAGTCTCTGAATAGCTCCCAAGACAAGAACTTTGAAAGATTTTGTTAAAAAAAACCCCACAAACAAAAAGTGGTACTATTACTTTCTGAAAAAAGAAAGATGGCTGCCTTGCTTCAAGCAGTAAATAACAAAATTTATCATTTTTTTTAAAAAAGCCCTTTTGTTTTAGAATGCTCATAGTCTCCAGAAACTCTTAAAAAATTGTGTTCTCTTCATTAACCCTCAAATATTGAGCCCAGACTGGACATGGAGAGCAACAAAAGGGGGGGGTTAGACTAGATGACTTTCAAAGGTCCCTTCCAACCCAAAGTATTATATGAACATGGACCTGAATCCACTCCACGTGCATGCACGTGCAGATGACACGCAATTACAGCATATTGTTGATTCTTCTCCCTATTGAGAAATGGAATGTATCTGGAAGATATCAAATGCATACCTCTAGCTTGTCAATCTTCCTGTATATGTGCCTCATTTCTGTAGCTTTTGTGTAAATTTGAGGTATACTTTCATTGACAACTTGAGAGGAATCACTTCGAATCTAAAATTCAAGAAATAATACAAAAGTCAATGAATAAAACAAAATGTTAAGTAGTAGATTTTATTCTGGAAACTAGAACTGTGCTCCAATTAACAGATTAAAACTCAAAAGTTTAAAAAATACTGGATTAGTATTCATATAAAAATACTAGATTAAAATTAATAAACTAGCTTCTTTATACAGTTTAGTAAGAGCCTTTGAACAAAATTTATTTTGCATAGGCAAATATTTACCTTTATAATTATATTAAAAATAGGCTGCCTCAGCCTTATCAGAAATAAGAGATGGAACATTTCCCAAGACACACTAAAGAATCAAATATATTAAACTAAAATTTTTACTTAAATTTTACTACCTGTAAAATTCTTCAACTTTATTAAAAAAAAAAAAAGCAAGCCAGGCCACAGTATTTTTCTTTGTATTGGCAAAAAAAAAAAAAAAAAAAAAAAGGTGCCCTTAGAATAGTGCAGGAGAACGCAGCGTGCCTCAAAAGACAGCCTGTATACCAGTGTCAACTTACAGAAACCTTCCATTCAGTTCCCCTGTCTCCTCCGATGCGAAAGTGAAAACAAAGCTGGCTTTCTGATGAAAGCGTAAGAAAGGGTACCCTAAAGACAAAAATCTAGCTTTGGAGGTTTGGTAACACTGATTAGATACTTTGATTACAAAACCCAGAGAGGATGGGTTTTGTTAAAGGAGAAGCAGAATATTGGATTGTCTTTTTAAGTATCTAGCATTATGCCATTCAAAATGGAATGCCATGTATGTAAAGGACAAACAAACAGAATTATGTAAATATATAGCTGTAAGGACATATTTTGCTCCAGCATGAAAGTTTAATAGTTTTCATCCATGAGTTATCCAATTACCAAGCCTATTTTCATACCAGAATCTGGCTGCCTAGACCAAAGGCTGCTTCCCATCTCGTGTTTTTTAATGAGGCAGTACATATTAAACTGTATTTTGACTTCAAAACCAGCTATATGCAAGTTATACACACCATGTCCAGCATTCCCACAAATTCATCCACTCTGGTCAACAAGTCTTCTAAACTCTTGTCTAAGCTTTCTATCTGCAAAATAAAAATGCTTTAAAGGTACTTGAAAACACACACACACACCCCCCC